AGAGCCGGCTCCTCCGCCCCCTTCTGGGGCTGCGGCGTGATTCACCCGGCCCGGCCGAGGCGGACGGCGCTTAGAGTCCAGCATGTTTCCGTCCTGGCAGCCCCGGCGCGCACCTGCCGGACCCGGGGATCGAACCTGCCAAAGGCCCCGCTCCTGGTACCCCTTCTTTCCCTACCCAGACCCCTTCCCTTCATTTACATACCCAGTCACCAGCTGCCAATCAGAAGGAAAAGGGAGCCACCCGCAGCCAATCAGGAAGCGGCGGCGGCACCATCGCTCGCTGGCTCTCCTTCTGAGACCGGCGCCTGGGTCGGGAGACGCAGTTCTGACTCCGGCGCAGGACTCCCGGCGCCTGACTACTAATAGGGACCGCCCCCTCCGTGCGGACCGCCCTCCACCCGGGATTGGCCCTTCGGCGACGGGCGGAGCCTGTGGGCGGGTTCCCGGGAGGGGAGGTTGGCTTCAGAGCGCATGCCCTGGCGGCTGCAAGAGGAGAGGGGGAGGCTGCTTGCCCTGGCAGTGACAGGGCGGGTGTTTAGCCTTCCAAGGTGCGGACCCCTCACACCTACCCATGCACCTGCCAAACCCCGCAATTGAGCTTCTTACGCACCCGGCCCAACAGGGGATCTACGCTCTAGGCCAGATCGGCCTCGGTTCAAATTCGAACTCACCACATAATGAGGTGAGGAAGTCTTGACCTATCTGAGCTGCCAGATCGGCCTCGGTTCAAATTCGAACTCACCACATGATGTGTGACCTTAGGAAGTCTTGACCTATCTGAGCCACATGAAGTCTGTTAAATGGGGATCTTCTTGCTTACCTCTTACAAAATTAAAATAAGATCGTGTCTATAAGAAAAGAGCACTGTACCAGACTCAGCAACTGCTGGTAGAGGGAGTCAAAAGGCAGGAGTGGAAGGGGGCGGGGGATGCCACTGGAGTCACATATTAGGCTCCATTCCCTAAGTGTAACCTTGGGCAAAGGTTTTAATTCCTTAGAGTCTCGATTTCCTCATCTTTGTTAAAATGAGGGAAATAGCGTTGGGGCAGAGGATTGTTGTGGTTTAAGCAGAATAATTTGTGCAAAATGCTGAGTGGTGCGCATGTCCTTTTATTAGTAGTAATAGTTGTTGTGGTAATAGCACGGGCACTTAATTCAAGTGGGGGACACTCAGGGTGGCATGTAGGTGACAGGAGTTTAATACTTTCAGATAAACTGACAATGGGACTTAACTTCTTCAAGTAGCTCATTTGCTAACTCTTCTGGAGCTGTTGGGAAGAACTGTTAGTTGTGAATAACGCTCCTGGCAAAGTAAGCTTTCAAATATACTAACTATACTATGCAGCATTTTCTACAAGATATGGAAGCAATCTAGGTATCCATCAATAGACAAGTGGATAAACAGGATGTGGTACATATCCAACCTGTAGAGAAATTTTATGAGTTTATTTGAACCAAACTGAGGACATATGCCAGGAAGCAAGATCTCAAATCCTCCCGGGAATGACAGCTTGCGTTTCCTTTTATACTAGTACATTTGGATTTAAGGAGAGAGCAGAGGAAGATTACATGAAGGTGGGAAAAAGCAAGGCGGAGATTGGATTACAGGTTAGTTAGTTAACAATGTGCTCTCTTGAGGGTAGTTACACTTCAGAGGTGTCTGAAAAAGAGGCATTTCAAAGGTGTGTTAACCTAAACGCACAAGAACAACGGACAGGGCTGCTTAAGGCAAAGATAAACCTTTTATAGACGTGTGGTGTGACTACCCCCCATGACCTGTTCACTTTCTGTCACTGAACTTTGCCAGATTTATTATATAGCCCCCTTTTCATTCCCAGTTCCCCCTTTTGGTCATAAATCAATCCGAAGGACGCATTGATGAGCAACCATTTTGTTGGGTAGCGCGGTCTAACAGCGCTAGGAAGGCTCACTCCAGGAAGTTTCAATATCCAAGTTGAATTGTTGAAATGGTGAACCTTTGGCAGTAGAGCAATGCCCCAACTATGAGGTGTGAATTGAGGCTGAATTTTCCCAAAAGGGAAGGGCAGGTAAACAGAAGGCACTCAGGTCTTATGGGCCTTTATTACAAAAATAATTTTGGCCCTGGCCAGTATGACTCAGTTGGTTGGGCATCGTCCAGTGCAACAAAAGGTTGCCAGTTTGATTCCCTCAAGACAGCTGATTGATATTTCTCTTTCTAAAAATCAATTTTTATTTTTTATTCTTTTTTAAGGAATATTTTTCTTTTTTAATATAGTTTGACTTCAGAGAGGGGAGAGAGGGAGAGAGATAAAAACATCAATGATGAGAGAGAACCATTGATCAGCTGCCTCCTGCACGCCCCACACTGGGGATTTATCGAGCTCAACCCGGGTTATATGCCCTGACCGGGAATCAAACCATGATCTCCTGGTTCTTAGGTCGACATTCAACCACTGAGCCACGCCAGCTGAGCATCAATTTTTAAATCTTAAAAAAAAACAAAAACCTCTCGATCATTTCTTTTTTTTTAAGCATAAAAATAAAATAATTTTTTCAGTTATTACCCACCAATAAAAGAAAGTTGCCGGAAACCGGTCCATCCTTGCTGCTTGACACAGTC